TGTAGATGTTGACATTCTACTTTATAAGCTATCCTACTATGGTATTAGAGGAGTTTCAAACTCTTGGTTTAAATCTTTCCTTACTAATAGAACTAATAGATCCCTTGCCATTCTGTCAAAACTAAGACATTTTATACAACAAAAAACTCTAAAATCTATTTACTATGCTTTGTTTCACTCTCACCTAACATATTGCCTACTATCATAGAGTCAAAACTAAAGTATTGTAAATCGCCTATTTATTTTGCAAAAAAAAGCAATCAGGATTATTGAATTTCTACCAAAGAATTCACATACATTCAAATCTTTTAACGCACTACAAATTTTAAAAGTACATGATATAATTAAAATTGAAAATTGTTTATTTATTCACAGCTGCCTAAATAAAAAACTGCCTACTATATTTAATAAATGGTTTACTCTATGCAGTTTAGTCAGCTGTCAACTTACAAGAAATTCTTGTAGAGGTGCACTGAGTGTGCCAACATATAATACAAAATTATATGGTAAACATTCCTTTAAATACTCTGCATTAATGGACTGGAATCAAATTCAAAATAAATTAAATATATTAAATAATAAATTAAAGTTATTAAATATATTAAATATATTAAATATATTTAATATATTAAATAATAAATTAAAGTTATTCCCTTTTAACAAAATTAAAAAATATGTCCTCAAAACCAAATTAAAATACTACTTGCTACATCAAGATTAATTGAAACAACAGTAGTATCGCTGGTGATAAATTATATCACCGTAAAAAATGGATAAGTTATTCATATGAATGTTAACTAATTTCAACCTTCTCTGAGTGTATTATTTATTTTATTTTTATTTTTTGTTTTTTTTGTTGTCTTTTTTGTTTTATTTGTTCATGATCGCTCTCCTTGGTTTAGCCTAGCTATATGAGAGTGAACCATCCAGAATGTAGACTATATTTATATATATATATATTTTTTATAACTTATAACATTCTTATGTAAAACATCTATATTTCTGGTCAATATATTGCTTTTTGTTGTTGATGTTGTTGTTCCAATATAACCATTAATAGTGTTAATTACTGTAAAAAATTTTAACTTTCACTCTTAAGTAATCTCAAAACATTTTTAGAAAAAATTGTCAAAATGTTTTTAAAAACTTTGAAAACCCTCAATTTTCACACGAATATTTTTTATCTCAAATTTCTTCAGCATTTTCATTAATTTTATTTATTGATTTTCAAAATTCAACAATAGAAATTTTCGGTTAAACAAAAAAAAAGGGAGTTTAAGATTGTGTTCATAGAATAAATAGTGTTCGTCACGTTTATTTTTCAAAAAATCCAGGTCAGTTATCTCCACTTACATCAAAATGAGCATTGCTTAATATTGGAGAAAATTGAAACAGGGTCAACAGCCAACAAGTTGTAATTTATGAAAGTGAAACAACCAAACAGCAGCAGTAACACTAAAGGCTAAAAAGGTTGACAAAATGCAGCGTCTAGAAAAAAAATAGAAAAGTTGATCAGATAGATTTGTGACATTAGTCTAAAAAATAGGAAATAAAATTTTAAGTTAGGTAAAGGTTATGATAATAGTTTGTTTACTTGATAGGTACAATGGTTAAACTCCAACTTGCTTTCCAGACATTCCCAGTCATTTAACTTCACTAATCGACATATGTCTTGTTTCTCATTGTGCTGCTGCAATGTCTAATTGCAACTATTACTTTCATATCTATCTCTAAAACAATTCTACAGAAAACAGATGTCTGTTTACTATTGCCATAAACCATTGTAAAAAGGTTTGGTCAATTGCCAAAGCCCACTATTCTTAGATAACGAAGTCTTGTATTTCATCTCAAGAATTAGGATCTCATAACTTCTGGAGAATCTTAGAAAGTATCAAAAATAAGGGCAAATATGTTATTCCACAGTCTTGTTTACCAGCCTGCTGAAAAGCGGCATATGTTATCCCTATTTTCAAAAACTTTGGAGAGCAATCTGACTTGTCTAATTATCGTCCCATTGGTCTTCTTACTATCATAAGCAAGGTTTTCAAGTCTTGATTTAACAAACACTTAATCTTCCAGAAATACTCACATCTAAAGTGGCATTGTTCGCTGATGACACTACCATTTATTCTTGTCTTGATAAGAAGCCAACACTCTTTGATTGCTTGGAGGGAGTATTGGAGCTTTAAAAGGATCTTACTTTTGCTACAACATGGGGCTCTTTGTGAAAGGTGAACTTTAACTTAGGTAAAACTCACATTATTTCAGCTTATCAATATCAAAATAATCTAGATCTTTCTATATCTATGAAGGGTAATGTACTCGATGAATCATTTACCCTTCATTTTCTAGAATTAACTCTTACCTTAATCTTTCTTAGATCAAATCAAATCAATGGCAAAATTAGCATCTGCTAAGTTTGCATCTCTTTATCGTGTTCCCCGATTTCTTACTCAGGATTTTATCCTTTATATCAATAAGTTTCGAATCCTTCCTTGTATGGAATACTGTTGCCATATATGGGGTGGATCTTCGAGTGATGCTTTCTCTCTTTTAAATTAGCTGCAAAAACACATTGTAAACATAGTTGGACCTGACCTTTATCATATCATCATCATGTTGCTTCTTTTTTCTATAAAAGGTACTGCTTTAAAGAGCTAGAGTCTCTAGTGCCATCGTCTTGTGCTAAGTCTCGTTCTTTTACTGTGACTCTTTTTAAGTGCTCCAATAACTCATATTTATCTAGTTTTTTTTATGAGCATCAGCCTTTTGGAATTCTCTTCCTTAATCTTGTTTTCCTGATTTATATAATTTGCAATCTTTTAAGTCATCTGTTAATCAGTATTTTAGTCTATAAATTTCATTTTTTCTCTTCCAGTAACTTCCAACTCTAATAGTGGTTGCTTGCAGCCTTGTTGGAAGTAAAAATGTTGAAAAATAAAAGGTACCATGGATACCATGCAAGATCGATTGTTTGTTCATAAAGATTATTAAGATAAATGAGTATCACATATATTATTCTGGAAAAAAATTTGAAAAGAGTGTGAAAGAAAAAAAAAAGGAATCTTGGAGAGCTGGGATTGTTATGAGAAAATGAGATAAAAAATGCAAATACTAAAGCAGTGACTAAATGATTGGAAAAACATTAAATAATAGTGAAGATGATAATGACGATGAAATTAAACCTAGCTTTAGCTTCATTATATCAATTTATATCAGACAGATGGACATTATATCAGACAGATGGATGTTAAGTAAACACTGATTTAAATTAGATTAATTTAAATTAAATTAACTTAAACTAGATTAACTCAAATTTAAATTAAATAATTTTAATTTGATTAAACTTTAACAACTCTAATAATTATATGGTTAAACTTTTACAAACAACATACTTTTTAGTCCTTAATTTAAGTAGGAGGGAGGAGGAGTAAAAGGAAGGGGAGTACCAATTTTAGCATAAATCTAATAAACAGGGGGTTTTAATAAAAGGGAGATCAGGAAATTTTTCATGTTACAATATAATTATCTTGCATAAAAAATTTCAGTTCATAAACCCTAAATAAATTTTTTTACAAAGCATACAAAAAACTATTTAATTCTAGAATGGCTTGCGGTCAAATGTAGAAATGGGATTTAATACGTTGGTTTAAGTTTTAAAATTTGCTGTGAAAGAAACCAAAAAACTCATTTTTGAAAATTCAAGATTTACAATTTTTAAAGCCTGTTTACACTGTAAGTTTTGGCTTTTATTGATGACTGAATTAATTATTTTTAATTAATTTTAAAGGTCAATTTTCACTGATTTTTTTTTTCAGTTTTGAGAAGTTTTTGTTGATAACAAGTAAAAATTAATCAACAGGCTTAATAAGGCTAGGGTTGGTAAGAAAATCTTCCAAAAATTAATAAATTTCCCCTCCCCTGCCCTCCTTTAATTAAGGAGTACAGAGTACCTATTTGTTAATATTAGAACCCTGCAAAACTTCAAAATTTTGAATTGAATTGAATCAAAAATATGATTTGAGATACAATTCAAAAATTTTCAAAAAATTCGAATCCGTACTTATTTTGTTTTTGTTGTGGGTATTTTAGTTTTTCAAAATGATGTTACTTATCTTTAAATACCTTTTTAATCAGTCATTAAAAAGGTTAACCAGGGCAAGAAGCATTAATAAATAGATTATACAATTGTTTCTTTTTATTTTATTTTGAAATATATATTATGAAATAAAAAATGCTTAAATTTAGACTTCAAAATGTTGATTCGAAACATGATTTGAATTACGAATCAAGACCTACTTTGATTCGAGATTTGATTTGAAACAAAAACTGCAGATTCGCAGGGCCCTAATTAATGAATTTTTAATTCTTATATCAAATGTTTAAAAATAAATATTTATAAAATTTTTAAATTTAGTAAATTTATTCTACAATTTTGTATAGTATAATCTACATAAATCTCTGCAAACATTAAAACTGATTTTTCAGACGAGGTATTTAGTTAAACTTGCTTTAAACTTTTACAATTGACTTCAAAGACTTTTCCCAGGATCAATTACTAACAAATGTTGCAAAAAAATTAAAACAAGATAAAATTATTCTTATTTTACCCTAATAATAAAAACTCTGATGCTTACTGACTCATTGCTGTTTTTATTATATAATAAATTATATAAATTTCATGAAATATTTTCTTTACTTCATCTTTAATTTTTATCTAAAGACTAAATAGTCTTAAGGTAAAAAATTAAAAATTAAACTTAATAACGAAATATAAAACTAGTGAACTACAGAAATTGATTATTATTGAATATGAATAGTTTATTATTTAATATTCATATTAAATAACAATTCATGAATTGGTTATTAAAAATTTATTATTTATATTTATTATTTATATTTTATTTGTTGTTGTATTTGAATTGGTTGTTATTAAATATAAAATTGTTGAACTAAAGTTAAAAAACAATCAATTATTAAATAAATATAAGTATTTTTACCATTTTTTACAATAACTTTGACGCTTTTTTTTATTTCAGCTGATTCTAAACTTGCAACGCATTCGTAATACCCATCAGTAATACCAATAATCACTGGTCTAATCATTAACACTTTTCCTTTCTCCCATGTAATTGTGTAGGGTGGACCCAAGTTGATTTCCTTGTTATTTCTTGTCCATCTTATTTGAGAGACTTTAATATAATCTGTGTCGACTTTGCACGATAAGAAAATATGTTCTTGTTTTGTGTTTGTTACTATTTCTGAACTCTGTTCCAAACAGTTTTTACCTGAAGCCATCAAACAAAGGTGTGAATCTAAACGAAAGTGTATAACATATTTTAAGCTCAACACAAATTCAGTTCATTAGGTTTGTCTGGTTTTAAAAACATTATTAACAAGGTTGTATTCTATACTTTGTCTAGGTCAAGAAGTAAAAATTGACAGTAATTTAATAATTTTGCTTTACACAATGTGGAAATTCTAGCGCAGTAACTTCGTAGCGGGGACACAGTAGCGTGTCCTAAGATGCATCTTGTGCAATAGGAATAGTTTTATATAAATTTAAATAAATAAATACTAATGGCATAATCATGGAATAAAATGAACTTTTGAATTTGTGCGCAAACAATAATATGCTTTAAAATGTTACCTTGTGCAATATTCTCTTGGTGCAACTAAAAGAGAAAAAAATGTTTGAACAGTTAAAGTTATTTTAAAACTATGAATACGTATATATATATATATATATATATATATATATATATATATATATATATATATATATATATATATATATATATATATATATATATATATATACACATATATGTAGCATCACTACTTGCATGTTCTACTTATTTGTCAATCAATGTAGCAGCATTCCTTGCATGTTCTTTATATTTGTCAGTTAATCTGTGTAAACAGTAATTAAATAAAAATAAAAACAGAAATTTCTGTTGTTGTGTAAAATCTTTATTAAAAAAAATTACTATTTTTATAACAAAAATAAAAATCATTGCAGCCTATTAGGTTGAGTTTTTGTAGTTTTTTAAAAAACATAAATTTTATTAGTTTTATTAGATAAATTTAATGGTTTTTACATAAAGTGTACTTAATTATATATATATATATATATATATATATATATATATATATATATATATATATATATATATATATATATATATATATATATATATATATATATATATATATGTATTTATATGCACCTTGGGATTCAACGCCATGTTGAATCTATTATGATTCAACATAGCGCATCTATTATGCTAACTACAGTTTTGTAATATTCATAGAGCTCAAAGTTTCCTAATATCCATGTTTATCAAGCTTGTTCTTAAAAATTTTTACACTTTTTGCAGAAATGATTTCTTCTAGTGGTTAATTTTGCAACTCTGTTTATCAGAAAATTTTCTTTTGGTTTGTTTCTTTTTATAAGCCCAATATCTACATGCGCTTTATGTCCTCTAATGTTTGCAGCTGGACCATTTGCTGAAATAGAAATTGCTGCTTTTTGTTGTTGATACCAAAACACTTTGTCCAATATCTGAAAAATTTTATAATATTGAATTAAATCATATCTTATTCTCCTGATTTTTAAGGGAGTTAGAGTTTTTTAACCTTTCTTCATAGGGTAGATGCTTTAACTCTGGAATCAATTTATTTGCTTTTTGTTGCTTATTATTCTAATTTATATGTATCATTTTTATTATAAGAATTCTATATTGTTGATGCATGTTCAAAAATGGTCTAACAAAAATACAGTACAAAATCTTCATTATATTTTTGTCTTAGTAAGTAAATGATTTGATTAATTGACCCAATCGACAATTTGCTTTATTAACAACAATATTTACACGATGATTCAATTTTATAGTATTTGATTTAAACTTCATAACATTTAACACATATTAACACACTATGTGTTAATATGTGTTAAACAATATATGTGTAAATATGTGTTAATGTCTTTTTCTATAGTTTTAAATCTTTTATATAATATTTAAAATTCTTATCATGTTTTCTAAAATGCATGATTTTACATTTTCTGATGTTGAAATTTATCATCCATGCCATTGTCAGACAATTTATTTAGATTATTAATATCGCCTTGCAATCTTTTTGAGTCTACTTAGTTGTTTACCTACAGCAACAATTTTGTTATCATCTGCATAAAGTTTGCATTTATTATTAATTTTAGAGGGTAAATGATTGACATGTAACAAAAACAGAAATGTTCCAAGTACAGAACCTTGTGGCTTCGCACTTCTAACCAATCTGACTTTATAACGTCAATTATAACACATTATTTTCTATTTGATGGATCTGCTTCTATCCAATTTAGAATTTCTTTTTATATACTGGCAAAGCCATGTGAAAACATCCAAGGCATGCAACCCCAAGTCTGAAATTTTAATGATTTTTAACACCACTCAAAGATTTTAATATGTTATGAACATTTCCAAAATTTTATCATTTAATTCAAAACTGTTTCAAAGGTATGATTGTTTAAACTTTGCCTTGAACTAACAAAAATCTGCCATTTAAAAAAATGGTATTGGTCATTGTTTCTGCTATGTATGCAATAAAAGCTGAAAATGTGTACACCTACATATTTTGAGGCAAGGAATACAAAAAACAAATTAAAATATGTAAATATAAACATAACACCTGAAATTTTGACCTTTATCACAATTTTACTGGGGAGAGTTTAGTTAAGAGTAAGAGTTTAGTTTTTTTCGTTTAAAAGACCACAAAGAGTGGTCTTTTCTTAAACATAAAAAAAACATGGTCAAATTTAATTAATTTTGTTACTTGAAAAACAGGAATTATGAAACGAAGGTGGTACTCTTACCTGCTTCATGTCCTGCTGCCTTGTAGGATATGCTTTTTTAGGCAAAGACTAGGAGATGCCAGTTCCAACTTAAAACACCCCCTGCTTTGGGGATCTTGGTTAAGTAAAGGCTAGAGATGGTGTCTTGATAAAGATACATATGTTGGGCAGATGTTTAATGCAACCGGCTATTGTCTTATAGAAGGCCTCCACTGCAAAGACTTAAAGAGTAAACAGATTCTCTCTGTTAACCAGCCCCGCACCCCTTTTTCATCTATTAGGCTGGTGCAAATGTATTTATAATACATTGTTTTCAGTTTAGGATGTTGAACGCAGATATTTTTTGATCTTCTTGACTCAATTTTCCTTGCGTCTCGGTTTTTACAACTCATTCTGTAATCTCCTAATGAGAGTACAGCTCTAAAACTCAGTTTTATGGTTCTGAGGACAGCTACAAGTCAGGTTTCCCTAAATCTGTGGTTGCTTTCAAAGAGGCTAATTCCACCAACAGCTGAAAAATATCAGAGTATTAACAGTGCCATATTGCGCATGGATGGTGATCCTGTTGGTACTTTTAGTGTGCGTTGTCAAGGCCACTTTCGGAGACCTATGTCATAGGATTTATTAATAGTAATGAGGCAATTGCTTGGACTATTAAAGAGTGTACTGAGTACTATCTATGCTTTGAGTCAAGTTCTTTAACAAATTTAAAAATGAATAAAGTGCCAAAAACTATAAAACACAAAAAATCATTGTCATCACCAAGTTCTCTAAACCTATCATTCACTAATATTCGTGGTCTTCGAAGTAACTTTTCTTTTGTTGAGTTTTATCTCTTGCAAAGTTCACCAGACCTACTTGCTCTTTGTGAGACTAATTTGAGTTCAGCTGTCTCGTCTTGTGATCTTAGTGTTGTTGGTTATCTTCCTTTATTTTGTAAAGACTTCAATAGTAACATGGTTGGCCTGGGCATTTACATTCTTAAGAATTCACCCATTTGTCGGAAACAAATCCACAGACTACTCTTAGTGTGCTTTGATTTAGCACCACTTCACTCTATCGCTTTTCTCTTTGTTCTATATTGCTCTCCTTCATCCCAAGACTGCACTCATTTTGATCTTATTACTGATCATATTGACCAACCCCTTTCTATTTATTCTTCAGCAAATATCGTTGTTTTAAGTGACTTTAGTGCTCATCACATTGAATGGCTAGGCTCTAGTGTCAGTGACTCTACAGGCTTTAAGGTCCACAATTTTTGCTTTCTTTCATCTCTAACACAAATAGTCAACTTTCCAACTCTCTTTCCATACAACCCAAATCATTTACCTTCTCTACTTAACTTATGTCTTTATGATTTTAGTCAGTGCTCAGACTCTCTACATTTAACCTAGGGTGCTTCTGATCACGGTTTGATTTCTCTAAAACTATTATCACAATCTTCTTCATCATCAGAATCTCCCTATTATCGTACCTCTTACAACTGCCTTAAAGCTGACTGGGACTCTATCCAAATTTTCTTTGTGATAGCCCTTGGGTAGAAATCTTTCATCTTCCTGTTGACAAATGTGTTTCGTACATAACTTCATGGACTCAGGCTAGCATAGAATCCTTTATTCCCTCTCAACAATTCCAGGTCAAGCCTCACTCTTCTCCATGGTTTTCCTCGCATTATGCTGCTGCAAATTTCCATCGGAACCATTACTTCCATATCTATCTGCAAACAATTCTCTAGAAAACAAACGTCTGTTTACTATAGATTTTTTTTTTAATTTATTTAAGTTGATTAAGGTGCCCCAAGAAGTCCTTACGGTCTTATCACAGAGCACCGCGGAAGAGTATTCAATGGGAATTTCACGCCTCCTTCCCAACCGATGTCGTAAAACGTGGGGTTTGAACCACGTATCCTACGTTTCTGAGGCAGGTGCGTTACCACTGCGCCACGGCTACATGATAGTTAGATAACATTGTAAAAAGGTTTTATCTATAGCCAAAACCCGCTACTCTTAGGTGAAATCTCATATTTTATCACAATAAAATATGAGATTTCATCAAAAATTAGGCTCTTGTGACTTCTAAGAGAATCTTTAACAGTATCAATAATAAGGGCAAATCTGTTATTCCAACTCCTTTGTATGGTTCACATTTTTTAACCTCACCTAAGAACAAAGCTGAATTGTTTGCTAAGAACTTTTCATCAATATCATCTCTTGATTCCACTAGTTGCATTCTACCTGATATAGCCGTCAAACAGGTTGATCAATTGCTTGACATTCGTATCACTCCAGCTTCTGTAACTAAAGTGATTTCCTTTTAAGACTCGTCTACAGCTTGAGGTCCGAACCACATACCTGTTATGGTCTTGCAGAAGTGTTCTCTGGAGCAGTGGCAGACTTAGTATAGGGCATAGGGGGGAAGGGGGTGAACTGCCCTAAGCTCCCTAAAACGATCAAACGGCGCCCCTAAAACATTAAAAAAAAATTATAAATTCAAATTACCAAAGAAAAAAAAAAATGAAAAGAAAAAAAATAAGTACGAATGGAAAGAAAGAGAGAGAGAGAGAGAGAGAGAGAGAGAGGAATTATTTTAAAACAGAAGTTTTAAAATATTTCCTTTCGAAACATTGGTATTAATATCTAAAAAGAGAAACATTGATATTAAACTCTAAAAAAAGGAACATTAATATTAAACTGATGGTGTTTATGTAATGTTTGGAATTAGAAGAGGTCTTCAAACTCGAATAAAAGCGCTTTCATCAAATGCCATCTATGTTTATTGTTGTGCTCATGTTTCAAATTAAACGTCATGGTAAACTAGACGTAAGTACTTTACGTCTAGTTTACCATGACGTAAGGTACATATTTTCCAAAAGCACCAAAATATCTATATTATTTGACAGTAGATACTCTGAAACGACTTTCTGACACAAGATAAGCAAGTTAGAAGCATGCAGTTGATGCTGATGTTGAATCTTTTTCTGCCACTCTAGAAGATATAAATCTAGGAGAATCTAAAGAACATACAGGAAATGTTAGAGCAGAAGCTATTGAACTATCAGTATTAATAAAAAACATTTTTTTTTCTAATGTTATTTAGATGTTTTATTTGCAAAACAGTTGATTTGTGTTACAAAAAAAAAGTTTGTAGATATGAGAAACGATGAAGCTTTTCAAGTTCTGCATTTAGCAGTCAAACCATTTATTAGTGAAAAATAAGCTGAACTAGATGTAGAAACTGAATTTAAAGAAAATTCGTCTTTCTTTAAATTCAGTTAGCCTAACATCATACCAAAAATAATCGCATGACAGGAGGGCTGTGGAGAGATGAAAGAGTTGATGATCTAACTACACGCCTAAAATGTGAAATCTACTTCATTGTTTTGGATACCATTATAACGCAAATAAATACACGATTTTAAAACTTTAGTAACAGTTTACAACTTTACAACTTTTACAAAGTTTAAACATTCATGTCAAATTTATTGTACCGATGTAAATACTGAAGAAGCAGTCGTAGAGCATGAGATTTTCAAAGATGTGTATGAATCGATATCCCCATCATTGACAACTGACACACAATTGAAAGATGTACTTCAGTTCTTGATTGAGAAACAGATAGCACCTGACTTGTCTATAGTTTACAAAATCTACTTGACTCTTCCTGTTACATCTGCTAATGCTAAAAGAAGTTTCAGTAAACTAAAGATTACAAAAAATTATTTTAGATCAACAATGACAAAACGAATGTCTTTCTGGATTAGCATTAATTTCTATTGAACGAGAGCTTGCTGGAAACATTGACTTTGACTTGTCGATAAATTTTTGCTTCAATCAAAACTCGCAGAACTTGCGTAAACTACCTGAAAAGTTAATTTTTTTTCTAAATGCTAACTTTTGTACTATGTCTACTTAAATACATTTTTAAATGACCGAACTATTTCAGTAATATTAAATGTTTTTTATTTTATAAAAGATAATTGTTAATTAAAATGTTAATTACATTGTTAATAAAAATAAAGGAAACTCAAAAAAAAATTAGGCTATTTAGTGTCTTATATGTATGTAATATGTATAATAAAAGTTACATAAAAACACTTATAAAGTGTTTTAGTCATGAACATAATTTCTGGGGTTTAAAATACCACACCCGGAGCTGTTTAACACCTGTTTAACACTGTTTAACACTTGTTAAACAGCTCCGTTCCGGAGCTGTTTAACAAGTGCTTATCAGAGTCTTGTTTGCCAGCCAGCTGAAAGCGGCATCTATATCTCTATTTTTAGAAGATATAAAGAGCAATCTGACTTGTCCAACTATTGCCCCATATTTGTCTATTCCCTATCATAAGCAAGGTTTTTGAATCTTTAACTAACAAACACTTAATCTCGTATCTTAAACCTAATAACTTACTTTCTGATCATCAACATGGATTTTGATCTTCTCGTTCTACAGTTGATTTGTTAACAGTAATAACCGATAAGTTTTATTGTGTATTGTATATTTAAGAAGAGGTTAGGGCTAATGCTCTCGACATTTCTAACGTCTTTAATAAAGTTTAGCATACTGATCTTCCTCATAAGCCTTACTCTTACGGTTTATCTGTTAACATCTATAAGATTATTAAATCCTTCCTTTCCAATCGTAGCATAAAACTTTTCCTCGACGAACATGAATTTACTTCATATAATATAACTTCAGGGGTTCCTCAAGCTTTAATACTTGGCCCTATACGCTATTTAATTTACATTAACGATCTTCCAGATATACTCACATCTAAAGTGGCATTTCTCGTCAGTTCGCCGACGATACTACCATTTATTCTTGTCATGATAAGAAACTAACACTCTCTGATTGCTTGAAGTGGGCGTTTGAGCTTGAAAAGGATCTCACTTCTGCTACAGCATGAGGCTCACAGTGGCTGGTGAACTTTATTTCAGATAAAACTCAATTTTTTTCAACCAATCGTTATCGCAATAATTTAGACCTTCCTATATTTATGAACGGTAATGTATTTGATGATTCATCTACTCTTTATCTTCTAGGATTAACTCTTACTTCTGATCTTTCTTGGAAACCATATATCAAATTTATTTCAAAATTAGCATCTGCTAAGGTTGCATCTCTTTATTGTGCTTGACACTTTCTCACTCTGGATTCTATTCTTTTGTGCCACTAATAAAATTTATTCTCGTGTTACTCGTCATTTAATAAAGTCTGATTCTTTTTCTGTGACTGTTAAAGACTTAAAAACCTTGCATATGAGAGTACCCGGTGGAAAAT